GTCCCTGAAGAAGGCTATAATGCTTGTTAAAGTGGAGGGACCGTGAAGAAGGAGATCCCAATGAGATGGATTGGCACAGTTGCAGCAGCAGGGGGCTTAAGCATAGTACCAGTTTTGAGGATGGTCAGTATTGGGTGATGTTTTGTTCTGTGGTACATATTGTCGTTATGGGTCAGAACTGAGTCAATAGAATCTAACAGCAACTGCAAAAGTAAGTAGGAAAAGCCTCTAGGACATATCGGTTTGTTTAAGAAAATTAATTTAAATATGTTGTATCTGATCTGTCTTTTAGACAAATTGAGTGTTAAGTAGATAGTTCGGAATTATGGAGAGCAATCTAGGCTAGGGATTTAAAATGTAGCGAGTTCCTAACATATGTTGTTGTTATGTGCTGTGGAGTCGGTTCAGACTCATAATGACCCCGTGCAGGGTTTCTGAGGCTATAAATCCTTACGGGAGCAGAAAGCCTCAACTTTCTCCCGCGGAGCAGCTGGTAGTTTCGAACTGTTGACCCTGAGGATAGCAGCTCAATTTGTAACCACTACACTACCAGAGCTGCTGTTATTTATGCCACAAGATTGGATGAAATCTAGAGAATGAACATAGCTACAGAAAATGAGATCTGCAGAACTAAGCACTGGGCATTCCAGCATAAGAGGTTGAGCAAAGAGGAGAATTGAGTAGATAACAATGATGGAAAGAATTTTAGAACACAAGTATTATGGAAGTTATTGTAGAAAGGAGTAATAAATAGTTTCAAGACCTTGTTGTTGTTGGTTGCCATCAAGTCGGTACCAACTCCTAGCGACCCTATGTACAACATACTGAAACACTGCCGAATCCTGGGCCGACCTCACAATTGTTGCTGCATTTAAGCCCATTAATGCGGCCACTGTGCCAATCCATCTTGTTGAGGGTCTTCTTCTTTTCCTCCGACCCTCCTCTTTACCAAAGATGATATTCTTCTCCAGTGATTGGTCCTTCCTGACAATGTCTGAAGTATGAGAGACAAAGTCTGGGTTTCCTGGCTACCAAGAAGCACTCTGGCTGTACTTCTTCCAATACAGATCGGTTTGTTCTTTTGGCAGTCTATGGTACCTGGATGAGGGACTCCAATGGGCATGCCCCCTCTAGAGATGTGGCCACCTCCCCCAGGGATATGAGGGCCCCCGTTCCCAGGAATGCGCCTGCCAATGCCCTAGACTCATCTTGGCCCTCCTCAGCTCCCTGCTGTTTTCTGTAAGGCTGTACATAGTCTTTGTATTTCCTTGTGGCCTGTGAAACTAGTTTATAATAAACTCTTTAGAGAATATTATAAGTGTTTAAAAAAAAAAAAAGATGAGGGAATCAATACAGGGAATATTTGTTGGCAAGGAAGTCCAACAAAAGTGGATGGTCTTTAGTGTATAAATGAGGTTTGACATTAAATAGGAGCATGGATAATGTCTCTAATAGTGTTATCCAGTAGAAATATGTGAAAATGGAAATCTGGATCTGTGCTGTATCTTATATAATGCTGGAAGATGAGAAACTCAGGTTGAAAGGCACTCACAATATGATTAGGGAAGAACTGCCGCCTCAAAGTAGATTTGACCAGAGTGATGTGAATGGAGCAAAGCTTTTAGGACCTTCATTTGCTGATGGGGTAAAACTCAAAATGAGAAGACACAGTTGCAAGCATTCATTAATAATTGGAACCTGGAATGTACAGAGAAAAATTGAAAGTTGTCAAAAATGAAATGGAACACATGAAGATCGATGTCATAGGCATTAGTGAGCTGAATTGGACAGGTATTGACCATTTTGAATTGGGGCAGTCATATGATTTACTATGACAGTAATGTCAAATTGAAGAGGAATGGTGGTGTATTCATCATCAAAAGAGCATTTCAAGATCGATCTTGAAATAGAATTCAATTCTGTCTGTGATAGGATAATATCCATATGCCTATAAGGAAGACCAGTCAATACCATTATTATTAAAATTTACACAAACACTAAAGCCAGTAATGGTAAAAATGGAAGAGTTCTGTAAACTTCTTCACTCTGAAATTGATGAAATATGTAATCAGGATGCATTGATAATTACTTGTGACTGGAATGTGAAAGTTGGAAACGAGAAAAGATCAGTAGTTGGGAAGTATGGCCTTGGTGATCAATATGAAGTTGGATATTACATAATAGAATATGGCAAGACCAACCACTAATTCATTGTAAATACCATATTACAACTACAGAACAGTTGACTATAAACGTGGACCTCACCAGATGGAATCAAATTGACTCTGTCTGTGTGAAGAGAATATGTGGATGCTCAATATCATCAGCCAAAATGAGGCCAGGGACCGAGTGTGTAACAAACTATCCATTGTTCACATGCCAGTTCAGGTGAAGCTTCAGATTAAAAACAAATCCATGAGAGACCAAATGTGATCTTGTTATATATCTAAATTTAGAGACCATCTCAAGAACGTATTTGGTAACACTATTGACTTAAGATCAGAAGAGTTGTGGTATGATATCAAGAACATAATACATTAAGAAAGCAAAAGGTCATTAAAAGGACAGGAAATAAAGAAAAGATCAAATGATGTCATAACAGACTCTGAAACTTGTTCAAAGGTAGAGAAGCTAAAGTGACTGGAAGAAACAAAGACATGAAGTAGCTGAACAGAAGATTTCAAAGGGAAGTTAGGGAAGACAGAGTTAAGTATTCTAATGAAATGTGCAAAGACCTGGAATTAGAAAACCAAAAGGGAAGAATGTGCTCAATGTTTCTCAAGCTGGAAGAAGAAAAAATTCAAGTTTTGACTTTCAATAATGAAGAATTCGATAGGCAAAATGGAGTCCTGGTGTGGTGCTGTGCGTTAATGCGTCAAATTGCAAAGCCATCTGAACTGCAAGGTCGTAGGTTCAAGCTCACCAGCTGTTCCTCAGAAACCCTATATAGAGTTACTATGGGTCGGAATCGACTTGATGCCACTTAAAAACAACAATAATATAGGCAAAATATTGAATGATGCAGAAAGCATCAAAAGCTGGAAAGAATATACAGAATCACTATACCAGAAAAAATGGTTGATGTTTAAACATTGATCTTGTCTGTTTACCTTCACTCAATTCACAATAAAAAGTTAGGAGGGTAGGGAAATGGGATAATTAATACATTTGAATTTTGGTGTTGGAGAAGAATAGTACTAATGACTACCAAAAGAGCAAACGTCTGCCTTGGAAGCAGTACAGCCAGAATGCTTATTAGAAACAAGGATGGCAAGACTTCGTGTTGCATACTTTGGACATGCTATAAGGAAACATTAGCACTTGGAGAAGGACATCATGCTTGGCAAAGTGGAGTTTCAGTGAAAAAGAGGTAGATCCTCCCAATGAGATTGTTTCATATAGTTAGTGGCAGCAACAATGGGCTCAAACAGCAATTGTGAGGATGGCATAGGAACAGGCAGTGTTTCATTCTATTGTGCATAAGTAAGAACCAACTTGATGGCCCCTAACTGCAGCAATAACATATCTGTGCTGTCAAATTTTTCTACACTCCCAGTCTCTACTTCCTTTCCTTACAGCCCCTTTTAACTACATGAACACATCTACCAATCCATAATAATACTTGTTGAAGTCACTAAAAGCTTTCATACTTCTAATGTAGACGTATGTAGATATAACCACTTGAAATTTGACTAGTGCTAATGAGGAACTGAATTAAAAATTTTATTTAATTTTTATTTCTATTCATGTGGCTATCATTGGCTCTTGTTGCGTTAGAACAAAAGGCTGCTTATGTGTGCAAACCCTGGTAAAGAGGTTGGTTGTAGAAGTTCCATTATATTATTCAGTTTTTTGGTGTCTTGTTGTTGTTAACTGCTATTGAGTCAGTTTTGACCCATAGTGACCCTGTGTAGAGTTACTAAGTAGTGGCTGATGTGCTTGAACTGCTGACATTGCGGTTTAATGACCTTGCAGTCCAGTGCATTAACACACACCGCCATTAGGAAATAGTTAATAGTTTAGTGTGAAGGTGAGAAAAGAAATGTTGGCATTGGAAGATGAAAGAAAAAGTGTTGAATAATTATTAGCAGAGTTAGAAAGTATGAGCTAAGGAAATTGAGAGCATTTGCTGAACCAGCACTAAGGGCTCCTTCCTGAATTGTTTACATTTCTAATTACTTTAAAGCAAGAAATAAAACAGTCATGATATACTTGAACAATTTTAAGAATAAAATGTGCATCATTTTTAATTAGGATGAAACTTGAATAATTCTGTTCATGGTTCATTGATATAGAAATTACTTATTTTTTATTTAATTTTTAAAAAATAAATGCTTTATTATGAATTGTGTGATAGTTTACATGGGAGAACATTTAGCTTACATTCATTCTATCGTTTATCATTTCATTGCCATGGTTACAATACCCTCCATGCATTATCAACCAACCAAAGGGTATACACTATAAGCCTGCCCCCCCCGGTCATCAGCAGACAGTCCCTCTCTGTCTCTGGATCTAAAGTCTCCAGCTGCTCTATCTCTCCACGTCATCGTCTCTGCCTCCATCTCAGGCCTCACTGCTTCTCTGGGTAGGGCTCTGCTCTCTGCAATTCTCCATTGATGGTCCCAGGGCCCTCTGGTCCTAGACTGAAAAGTTAATCACTCCCCTCCTTGCTACAAAATGTCCACCTTTAGATTTCCAACCCTCACAATCAGTCCTGATAACAATTACTCACTATTACATCACAAGAGACCCATCTGCATTTCATTTCATCAGCCCTCCCTGGACAGGCTGGATACTATTCACTGGAGACTATCTTCCTCCACGCCCTTTGGATCTAGGTTCCCTCTTGAAAGCTTGTAAGCCAATCACTTGTTACTTTTATATCCCTCCCTCATTTTGGAGAGCCAATGAGAAGTTACTTATTTTTTTAAATGTTAATACTGCATTGATTAAAGATAACCACATTGTTGATTTTTCTCTCCACTTCTTACATATAGCTTAACCGGGAAGAATTTGAAGATCAAGATGATGAGACCCGAGTTCAGTATGAGGGTTTTCGACCTGGGATGTATGTCCGAATTGAGATAGAAAATGTACCTTGTGAATTCGTGCTCCACTTTGACCCCCATCACCCAGTTATTCTAGGTGGTTTGGGAAATAGTGAGGGCAGTGTTGGATATGTACAGGTAGGTACCCTTTGTGTGTGGTTGGCAGATGAGGTACTTTGGACTTATACTCTCCACCAGTGATAATTGAATGGTATCTTTCTCTTCCCTTTAGATGCGTTTGAAGAAACATCGTTGGTATAAGAAAATCCTCAAGTCTCGAGATCCAATAATTTTTTCTGTAGGATGGAGGCGGTTTCAGACTATCCCGCTGTATTATATTGAAGACCATAATGGAAGGCAAAGGCTTCTAAAATACACTCCACAGCATATGCATTGTGGAGCAACATTTTGGGGTAAGTTGTTATTAGTATAACTTGCTTCATAGGTTAAATTAGATATTTTAGGTTTTATTTTAGTTTTGGTTTATTTATGTCATGAATTCTTATTTCATAGTAACTTATTGTTTGGATTGGAACTCATATATACATGAGTTCAAAATCTCATTCAAAAGGTAATTGTGGTTTTTTTTGCTTTTATATTTTATTTAAGGGCCTATCACTCCACAGGGGACTGGGTTTTTGGCAGTACAGTCTGTCAGTGATACGATGGTAAGCATCTTGCATGTTTTCTTTGGTAGATTCTGTTTTAAAAATACATTATAGGCTACTATGTGCATGGAATTTTTAGTTGAAAATTATTCATTTTCAGTGGGAAATACATAGTAAAATCCTCTTTGCTTTTAATTTTCCTACATTATTTGAAAGTTGGTTATGGGAGTAGAAAAGGAGGAGGTAAAAGAATTGTAATGGTACTGTTGATATATTATCTTTTTCTTTTTTTAAAATGTTTTATTGTGAATTATGTGGTAGTTTACATTGGAAAACACTAGTTTTACATTCATACTATCAGATATAGTTTCATTGCCGTGGTTATAGTCCCCTCCATGCATCCTCAACCAACCTCAAGCAAGCCTGCCCCCCGGTCATCAGCACACAGCCCCTCTCCCTCTCTGGGTCTAGAGTCCCCAGCCACTCCATCTCTCCATGTCATCGTCTCTGCCTCCATCTCTGGTGTCACTGCTTCTCTGGGTAGGGTCCCGCTCTCCGTTCTTCTCCCTTGATGGTCCCAGGGACCTCTGCTCCTGAACTGTAAAGTCAACCATTCCCCTCCTTTTGCTAGAAACCATCTACCTTTACATTTCCAATCCTCACAGTCAGTCCTCACAACAGACCTATCCGCATCTCCATTCATCAGCTCCGCCTAGACAGATTGGATACTACTCAGTGGAGATTCTCCACGCCCTCTGGATCTAGGCTCCCTCTTGAAAGCTTGTAAGCCAGTCACTTCTTGCCTTTGTAGCCCCCCATATTGGGTAGCCAGTGTCCAAGTTTCCCATCTCTGTCTACTCTGTGTATGGAGGTAGGGGGTGGGTGGTGGGTGGGAATGATCCTCACTGTAAAGATTTGTTCCCTCTTTTGAGCTTGCATCCATAGGTGTAGGTCAAGTTCATCAAATTGTATCAGATTACTCCTGTTTTCCTCTTCTTTCTTCTAGTTGAGCTCTGGTATTGAAACCTCCCTGTAACTCTAAAAAATTTGTTCTTATCATACAGTGTGTTACTGTAGGATAAGTACTGGACTGCTAACCGAAAGGTTGACAGTTCAGTTGTACCAGCTGCTCCTCGGAAACCCTATATGGTCACTATGACTCAGAACTGATCTGACGGCATGTAACAACAATAGCAAACGTTGAAACTGAAGTATGCTTTTCATTGTAAATAGGTCTTTATTTTGAAATTACACTCAGGAAAGTAGTCACGTCATCATCATTAGTATGATTTTGCGTATGTTAGAGTTATAGATTGCTGTTGTCGGCTTACTGTTTTGCATGTTGAAATGTCCTCTTGTTCTTTCTTCTCCGAGTACAAGTGAAATGCACTTTGATAATTGCAAAAATGGTGCTTGGGCCCTCTGACCTTCTCTAACATAATGAGGAGGAGAGAGAATAACCATCAACATCAGCCCAGGGTTGATTCCTAGGAAGCAGAGGTCAGATAGATATATATCCCTTCTCTAACCTCTTTAGCAGTCCCAACACCAACTGTCTCTCCTGTGACACTGTACTTCTCATATGGGTTTGATAATTCAATGCAGTGACCACACAGACCTCACAGACAGTACTCACAGTTATGAGGTTTATTAGGGAAATAACACATTGCAGTACAGACTCAGAATAAACTATTTTCTTGATCAAGATAACCTTTTCTTGGTTATGCATGCAGTTAAGTCTCTCTGGCTTTCAGGCCTCTTGGGCTGGCTTGGTCTCTGCCCTGTTCTGACAAGAGTCAGACACCTCTTAAGCTCAGTAAGTGTCTTAGGCACACCACTCTGCCAGAAATCCTGCAGGAAGGCTCTTAGTTCTCTAGCTTCATAGGTCCCTTCTCTCCTCCAGCAAGCTGCCTTGAAGGTACTTGGCTTTCTTGTTCCACATACCATCTCTTGCTGGTCTCCTGGTTCTGCTGCCTCCACTGTCAGCATGTCTCTCTTTACTACTCCTTCTCACCATCTCTTTCTGTGTCTGGTATTAAAACTCTGTCTCCACTGTTGAAGAGGGAGTCCTGGTGTGGTGCTGTGGGTTGGTGTGTCAGACTGCAAAATCGTTTGAACTCCAAGGTGGGTGGTTCAAGCTCACCAGCTTCTCCTTGGAAACCCTATACATGGTTGCTATGAGTTGGAATTGACTCAAAGGTAATTAACAACAACAATAAGAAATGTTGAAGAGGGTCTCAACACGGAGACCCTGGGTCCAAAGGAAATGCCCTGCTCCCAACTCTGCTTTTCAATGGTACCCAGATTCTCTCTCATTCCCATCTCTGTTGCTCTGGCATTATATTCTTTCTTCTGAGACTAGCCAGGTGGCAAAATGGACCAATCCCCTCATTAGGATTCCATATACCTTATTTGCTTGGTCCCTGTCACCCCTAATAAAGGTACTATGCACCTTATTTACATTATTAGCAAGGTATCTGCCAATCTTTTTGGTGGACTATAAGTACCTCATTTGCTTAAGGAGCTCTGGTAGTGTAGTGGTTACAAATCAGGCTGTGAACCTTAAGGTCAGCAGTTTGAAAATTCCAGCTGTTCCACAGGAGAAAGATGAGGCTTTCTATTCCCCTAAAGATTTACAGCCTCAGAAACCCTGTACAGGGTCGCTACGAGTCAGAACCGACTCCATGGCACATAACCACCACCCATTCATTTAGTGAATGTTCCAAAGACGGGCTAAACCAAATCCATGATTGTTGAGTTGGTTGCAGCTCAGAGTGACCCTATAGGACAGAGTAGAAGCAGACATTTTTCTACTGTGGAGCAGTTGATGGGTTCAGACTGCCAATCTTTCAGTTAATAGCTAAGTGCCACCAGGGTTCCTCTAGTCTATGACTAGAAGAGCCATATTTATTTATTTATTATTTAAGGTTTTAATTGTGGATGGAGTGACAGTTTACAGGGTAGATCATTAGTTGTAAATTCAACAAATCATACACCTTGTTTCAATACAATGATAATAATCCCCTCCATGTGCCAGCCTGGTGTGGTGATGTGGGTTAATGCACCAAACTGCAAAGCCGTTTGAACTGCAAGGTTGGCAGTTCAAGCTCACCAGCGTCTCCTTGGAAACCCTATACAGGGTTACTATGGGTCAGAACCAGCTCGATGGGACTTAACAACATGTACCATCAGTTAACAGTATTTCTCTCTATTCACTTTAGCTTTTTTTTTTTTTAAATACTCCCCCGTTTTTGTTACAAAAGTTCTACCTTTACAATTATGACAGTCACAGTTAGTTATGGTAACAATTGCTCATGGTTGAATCATAAGAATCTTATCCTCATCTCTTTTTACCAGACCCATCTAGACAAGATGAAATCTATTCAGTGGGACTCTTTCTTCCCCCTCATACTCTTAAACTAAACTCCCTCTTGAAACCTTGTAAGCCCGTCACTTTGTGCCTTTATTGCCCCCTCATTTTAGGTAGCCAATATCTAAGTTGCCCGTCCCTATCTACCCTGTGTACAGAGGGGGTAGCATTGATACTTGATGTGAAGACTCCTTCCCTCTCTGTTGATATTTAGAGATACTACCTCCATGAGCATAGGTCAAGTTCATCAAATTGTAGCAATTTACCTGTGGTTCCTTTATCAAAACTTGTTTTGTTCTTTTTTTGAATCTTCCTCTAGTTGAGTTCTTTTTTTTTAATGTTTCTCTAGTTGAGTTCTAGGAGTCCTGGTGTGGTGCTATGGGCTAATGCAAAGTCTTTCAAACTGCAAGGTCAGTGGTTCAAGCTCACCAGCTGCTCCTTGGAAACCCTATACAGAGTCACTATGAGTTGGAATCGATTAGATGGCACTTAACAAAAAAATTGAGTTCTAATTATCAAGCCATTGAGACTAGGTCAAATGGATACTGTCTGCAAGTTTGGGTGTTCTTGTGTACCTTCTCTCACTCCATATCTGCTGGATGCTTCACTCTCAGCTCTAGCCCTCTGTGACTAAGTCCTTGTCCATGGGCTCAGGTGTCCCCAGGTCTCACCACACTTTGGACCAACCAGCCCTTCCTCTTTTCTTTCACATTTCCAAGTCAGCGAGAGTCTATGGAACATGATTGAACTCAGCCCATTTCTTCATTGCCACCTTTCCCCTTCTTCCACTCACCAGTAGACCAATGTGGTTCTCAGCAAGCTTACATGCCTGCTCATGTGTTCCCTTTGAGTTTTAGTCTTAGAAGGGAGTTAGTTCTGAAGGAACTTGATTGCTTGCCTTGATGGCTGCCTGGCGAACAACTTGCTTATTCTCTAGTAGCCAGTTATACTGCCATTTTTGTTTTGGATATTTCCTGATGATCTTTGTTTGAAGATGTATCATCTGTCACTCTAGCTGTTCCAGGCTGGTCTGCTTGTCCTTGCTAGTGGGAATGTCCCACCTCAGAAGGTTCTGGATGGGACTCAGGATTCTACCTAAGGTCCTATACACTGCAAAGGCTCCGCGAGAGGCCTATTTCACTGGGCAAGTTCTAGAACCTCTTTTAGGTATTCCAATTAGCTATAGGTTGAAGATGGACTTACAAGCTTTCTATAATCATGTTTCCCCACATTCCTTTTTAATCAACTCAAGTGTCCCATTTTACAGTAGTAGGCAAGGGAAACCAGTACACATAAGACAGTCAAGCATCTTAGTATTATTTCCCCTCTTCAGACTATGCCTCGATCCCTGTATCACAGAGCCCTGTCTAAGGTTGAGCATGTATCACTATTTACTTCTGTCCCATTTAGCCCATGCAAACCTGTTTCAGTGTTCCCCTATCTACCTTGTTATACCACCCATCCCCCTTCTCGTGTACTGCCCTCCCCAGCACCCGAACTGTGATGTGTCTGCCTCTACCCTGTGCTTTACTGTCGCCTCCCTCCACCTTCCCCTAACCCCCCCACTCCAACCCCACTGGTAAACAACAAAGAAATTTGTCTTGTTTTTGTTTCTTCATTTTAGTATGGATATCTTTTCTTAAGTTTTTACAGTAATGGTTGTTGTTGTTGTTGTTATGTGCCATGGAGTCGGTTCCGACTCATAGCGACCCTGTACAGGGTTTCCGAGGCTGTAAATCTTTATGGAAGCAGAAAGCCTCATCTTTCTCCCGCAGAACAGCTGGTAGTTTCGAACTGCTGACCTTGCGGTTCGCAGCCTGACTTGTAACCACTACGCTACCCGAGCCATATTTATTAATGGTAGAAAAGCCATATTTATTAAGTAATTCATTACACCACCATACTTGATTGCATTGCAGGGTATTGTAAGTTTTCTCTTACTGATCTTTTTCCTATATTCAAATGTGGGTTCATTTTAGCCTGATTTCCGGATAGCTGCCACAGGAGTTGTCCTTGATCTCAATAAATCCATTACAATTATGAAGAAACTAAAGCTAACTGGATTTCCATATAAAATTTTCAAGAATACGTCATTCATTAAGGTTTGTTTCTCTATATAATTTTATATTTACTAACATGAGCAGGTTTCAAAAAGTTGGAAAAATGTATAGAAATATAATGGAATTTCTCCACAAATTTTTTGAAGCCTCTTCATTTATAATTAATTATAGATAACTAAAGCAAGAATCAAATACATATAAAATTTAGTTTCATGTTTTCAGACAAGGTTTTAAAATCTTTATTTATATATTTTTAACTTATTTATTACTTAATAATACTCAGAAATCATGAGGTGTGAAGTAAGACAGGGTTTAGCCATTGAGCCCATGATTCTTTCTGTGTGAGATATCTCAGAACTAATATGGAAAATTGGTAAGTTTGTCCACTAGATTGCATTTCTTTTTTGGGTTTTGTTATGAAAGAGGGATTTTTATGAGTTCCTCTTAATTGTCTAGAAAAATAGACAAAGCAGTTCACAAAAATGTTGTTTGTAAGGGTATAAAGAAAGTATGGATACCCATTGATAAAATTTTGGGAGGGTAGTTTTTATACATTTATTGAATATATCATTAGAGGGAATGTTCCCAGTAAAAACACAGTATTAAAATATTCTTGTACCTCAGTAGTAAGATTTGACTTGTAATTCAGCATTTTTAGAGGCCACCAAAGATTACCTTGGCCAGTTTAATTAAAAATAAATATATATTTGATCTTGTCTTCTACAAAGTCAAACATAGTAATGAGCCCACAACCAAGTTTTGATTAGTATTATTTTTGAACACCAAAAAAACCAAAGATGTATTTATGAACTAAGAATTAAAGTACCTGGTTTTATATATATGCTCCCCTTCCCCATTTGTCTATAGGGGATGTTTAATTCTGCCTTGGAAGTGGCCAAATTTGAAGGTGCTGTGATTCGAACTGTCAGTGGAATAAGGGGACAGATCAAGAAAGCACTCCGAACTCCAGAAGGAGCTTTCCGTGCCACCTTTGAGGACAAGTTGTTGATGAGTGGTAAATCTGCCTTGTGCTATTTTATTGATGTGTGTTCATTACTGATAATTAGCCAACATTGATGGATAATAGAGTTTAGGTCTTTTTTTTTCCAATGGAAAAAACAATTGTGTCTCTGGTGAAGCCAGCTACAGCAAAATGAAAACAAATTTAATTCACTAAATTGTGCTTGGTTCCATACATTAATTTTTTTTAAATGTTGTATTGTGAATTATGTGATAGTTTACATGGGAGAACATTTACTTTACATTCATCCTATTGTATATCATTTCATTGCTATGGTTACAATCCCCTCCATGCATCATCAACCAACCAAAAGGTATACCCTACAAGCCTGCCCCACCTGGTCATCAGCACACAGTCCCTCTTCCTTTCTGAGACTAGAGTCTCCAGCTGCTCCATCTGTCCATGTCATCGTCTCTGCCTCCATATCTGGTGTTACTGCTTCTCTGGGTAGGGTCCTGCTCTCCACTTTTTTCCTTTGATGGTCCCAGGGACCTCCACTCCTAGACTGCAAAGTCAATCACTTCCCTCCTTTTGCTACAAAATGCCTACCTTTACATTTACAAACCTCACAGTCAGTCCTGATAACAGTTATTCACTACTGTATCACAACAAACCTATCTGCATCTCCTTTCATCAGCCCTGACCAGATAGATTGGATACTACTCAGTACACCCTCTCCACACTCTCTGGATCTAGGCTCCCTCTTAAAAGCTTGTAAGCCAGTCACTTCTTGCCTTTCTAACCCCCTCCCCCTCCCCCCCATTTTGGGTAGCCAGTGTCCAAGTTGCCTATCCCTGTCTACTCTGAGTATGGAGGAGATGAGCATGATCTTCATTGTAAAGATTTCCCTCTTTTGAGCTACTGCATCTATAGGTGGATGTCAAGTTCATCAAATTGTATCAGCTTACTCTTTTTTTCCTCTTCTTTGTTCTAGTTGAGCTCTGATCATCCAGTCATTGAATCCAGGTCAAGTGGGTATTATCTGCAAGTGTGGGTGTTCTTGTGCATATTCTCTCTCTTCTTATCAGCTGGACACTTCACTCTCCACTCTAGTCCTCTGTAGCTATGTCACTGACTCTGGGCCCAAGAGTCCCCAGGTCTTGCCACACTGCTGGCCAACCAGGTCTCTACCAGGGTTCTGTTCTCGACTCTTCATTCTGTTGATTTCGTTCTGAGAGGTGCTGCCACGGATGTCAGTCTCTGGTTGTGGTATGTTCTTGTTGGTTCTCAGTCCATAGAGCTCCCTTTAGGGTGTTTTGTAGCTCGGGATTGGCTTTGGTAAAATCCCTTAGCTTCTGTTTATCCTGCAATGTTTTGATTACACCGTCATATTTGATTGATAGCTTTGCTGGATAAAGGATTCTTGGTTGGCATTTTTTTTCTTTCAGAGTTTTATATATGTCTCCCCATTGCCTTCTTTCTTGCATGGTTTCTGCTGAGAGAACTGAGCTTAATCTGACTTGCATGCCTTTGTATGTAACACTCTTCTTTTCCATAGCTGCTTTCAGGAGTGTCTCCTTATCTTTGATTTTGGAGAGATTGATTATGTTATGTCTCATTGATTTTCTTTTGGAGTCTGTCCTTGGGGTTCATTGAGCTTCTTGAATGTTTATCTTTTCACTTTTCAGGATGTTTGATAAATTTTCTTCAAGCAGTTCTTCAGTTATTTCGTCTGTGGACTTGAGTGATTCTTCTTGTTCTGGAATGCCGATAATTCTTAAGTTATTCTTCTTCGTTTTGTCCAACATGAATCTTAGACCTTCTTCAGATTTTTTTATCCTTTTTTCTGTTTGGTCTTCTATCTAAGTGGTATTGAAAGATTTGTCTTCCAGATCACTGGTTCTGTCTTCATTCTCTTCTGTTCTACTTCTTTGCCCTTTCAGTGTATTGTCTATTTCTGATATTCTATTATTGATCATTGGACCTCTTTCTGTAGGTTTTGAATTGTTTCCAGTGCTGTATCTATCAATCTTATTTGATTGTTCCTGTAGCACTTCCCTGATATCTTCCTTATTTTTCTCAACTCCATTGTAAAGTGTTTTGAAACACTTTATAATCATTTTTTCTGAATTCCTTCTCAGTCATTTCTAAGGCATCCCCTCCTTTCAGAATGGAGACCAGGTCTACCTCTAGGTCATTTGTCTCAGACATTTTATCTTGTTTTTAGACATGTGCTAATATGGTCATCTGCTTTTGCTTCTTGGACATGTTTAGTGTTTATCTGTGGCCTTAAAAATTAATTGAGTATGTGTTTTGGTATTTTTTGTGCTTTTTGGTTGCCTCTATGTAGATTCGATCAGGATGTGGGCTTCCCTTTTCACTCTTCTTATATGCTTAATTCAGAGTAGCTTTCATAGGTGTTGTCTGCCTCCCTGGTGTATGGCGGTTGGTAATAGTTCTTACCTGGAGTTTGGTGTTTTATGGAATGTAATTGTAGCTTGACTCTATGACAGCAGTTGCTGTCTTTTCTTGGGTAATGTAGGGAGAGAAAGAGTCCCCCAAAAGTGGAAGGGGGAGCATAAAACGGCAAAACAGCAACAACAAAAAAACAAGGGGATTAAAAGAAACAAACAACAACAACACAAACTAGATTGGATACTGTAGTCTATAATCGCAGAAAAGGGAAAGAAGGAAAAAAAATCTGTAGACTACTATGAGAATGACTTTAATGCTCTTTCAGCTACTTGCCTTCAAAGCTTTCTGATGGATTTCAAGATGCCACTGTTGTTATGTAGTACCTCAGGATTTAATTTAATTTTTGGCCTCTTTTGTTTTTAAACTCTCTTTCCCCTTTCCACACCCCTTTATCTGGCCTTTTCTGTATTAAAAACAAACAAACAAGAACAAACAGTTCAGGTCTAGCTGTTGGGCTGAGAATATCTGTGCACATGTGTGGCAGAAGAACCTACCAGTGGTGGGGATGTTGGGTGTCCACTCACTCAGGCACCCCCTCTATTCATCAGAATGGCGGTGTGCAAATAGTGGGGGATACAGGGTGGCCAATGAAGAAATACCAAAAAAAAAAGAAAATCAGAACAAAGGAAAACCAACAAAGTGTATTGCCCACCTTTGCTCTGAGGTTCCGGTGGCATTTTTCCATGATATGTCTGCTCCCCCTCTTGGTCTTGCCGTTTGTTCTTGCCCAAGTTGTCAGCTCTAGGCCATCAAGCCCGGCATGTTCAAAAGTACCTGATTTCTTACTTCTGCTACAAGTTCCACTAGCTATAAGCCTTCAAACTTTAAAAATATTCCTACGTATGTGGTTCCGAGTTTTGGAGCTCCACCCTGAATCTGCTTTGCTTGGTATTCTGTGGTATTGCTGACGGCGAACCTCACTGCACCTCTACCCTAGCCGCCATCATGCCCCGCCTCCCTAGAAATTAGGTCTTTAGACAAGTTCTCTATGACTCTCCTCAGCTCAAGCATTTTGGGCAGCTTGCTGGTTCACATGGTGTCTTTAGTTTTTTGTTCATATCCAGTAAAAAGAGTATTTCACTTATTAAGTCTTTCAAATATTGGACAACTAGGTAGAGAAGTATATGGTGCATATTTTTTTCTATTTGGTGAGCTGAATATGAATCTTCTTTTCAAAATGTTAAACTTTCTCTCTTTTTAGATATTGTTTTCATGAGAACGTGGTATCCTGTCTCCATTCCAGCCTTCTATAACCCAGTTACATCTTTGTTGAAACCAGTGGGTGAGAAAGACACCTGGTCAGGAATGAGGACAACAGGTCAACTCAGACTTGCACATGGTATCAAATTAAAGTCCAGCAAGGATTCTTTGTATAAGGTACAGGTTCTATGTATTATTTAAGAGGACAGCAAATGCTCGATAGACGTTGAGCAATATCGATGCTATTATACGTAATTGTAATATGATGGAATGGTCGTGTCAGAGGTCTTGTAACTTCATGAGGAGGAGCAATTAGCATTGACATCAACCCATGGTTAATTCTTATAACGCAGATGTCAAACGTACCTCCACCTCTAACCTTTTTACCCGTACTTACACCAGACATTCCTCCCATTATACTCTTTATGTCTTTGTTGAGTTTCATAATCATTGAAATGATCACACAGACCATACTCACAGTTATGGGGTTTATTAGGGAAGTAACAGGTTACAGTCAGGATCAGGAATAACCCAGGATACAGTTCTTTGGTCAGGACAGTTTACTTGTGTCCTCAGGTAGGCCTTCCCCCCCCCCTTTCTCTCAGCTCTGACCCCTTGGGGCAGCATCAAGCAAGTGTTACATAGCTGTTTAACTCTCCCAACCAGTGCCCAAAGACACTCTATTTTGCCATTAAGCCTCAGCTCTCTAGCTCCCATACATAATTGTGTCGGCCTTAGTTCTGCCACCGTTTCTCTGCTGATACTTCTCACCGTCTTTTGTTATCTTCAATGTAATAACTCTTCCTGTATTCTGAATCTAGGAGTTTTTCAGTACAGGGACCTTAGTTCCAAAGGATGCTTTCCACTCCTAGCTCTTCTCTCTTTGGTGGTGGTGAGGTCGCCCCCTTCCCATCTCTAGGATGGCTCATTTGAACTCTAGCTTAGGATAAGCACTAGACTGCATACCACAAGGTTGGCAGTTAGAGCCTGGTAGCCCTCCCCATAGTAGAAAGGTGAGACTTTCTGCTCCTGCACAGATTTGAAATCTTGGAAACCCTAACAGGGTTGCTATGAGTTGGAACCAACTACTGCACTTAAAACAGCAACAACCTACACAAAAGTTCTAATAAGCATCTTATATGCATTATTAGCATCTGCTTTGTCAGCCAAACATATTTTTTGTATGTTGTTTTTGTTAGGTTACATCAAGTTAATTCTGACTCATAATGACCCTGCATATCATCCTCATAGTTGTTGTTACATTTGATTCCATTGTTGTGGCCACTGTGTCAATCTCTCTTGCCTTATTATTTGCATTGATGTTGTCGTTAAGTACTGTGGAGTCAGTTCCAACTTAGAGCGACCCTGTAAAGGGTTTCTGAGGAATGACTGGCGGATTTGATTTGCTGACCTTGCAGTTAGTAGTCTAGTATTTATCCTACAGTGCCACACCAGAATGTTGTTGTTTAGTGCCATAGAGTCAGTTCTGACTCAGGGATTCTCTAGGGTTTCTGAGGAATGATTGGTGGGTTTGAACCACCGACCTTACAGTTCAAAGTGACCTTGCGGTCCAGTGTTTATCCGACAGTACCACACTAGGATGTTATTGTTAAGTGCCTTTGAGTTGGTTCCAACTTATAGCAACCCTGCATAGGGTTTCCAAGGAGTGGCTGATGAATTTGAACCACCAACCTTGTGGTTCAAACCAACCTTTGAATCCAGTGTATTATCCCATCACGCCGCACCAGGACTCCAATGCCTGATTGTGTTGGGGTCATACAGATTTTGCTAAGAAGTGCCATATGAAGCATTTTATTGTACTACAGCAATTTTATATGCTTTGAATTTCCAAGTATAAATTTGATTGAAAATACTATACATTCATAGAATATTTTAGAAGGAAAACAGGAAAGTGATAATAGTAGTTTTCTCTGGATTGGAGAGAAGACTTTAAATTTTCTTGTATATTTTTACTATATACATGTATACTTTTTTTAAACGTGAGTGTGTTGATTTTCATTGAAGCAATATAGGTTTTTATTTTTAACATGTGAACATACACACCCCAAAACCAACCCAAATCCACTGCCGTAGAGTTGATTCCAACTCACAGTGACCCTATATATTTTATAGGATTTCCAAAATTGTAAATCTTTATGGTAGCAAACAGCTTCATCTTTCTCCTGTGGAGCAACTAGTGGGTTTGAATTGCTTACCTTGCAGTTAGTAGTTCAGTACTTATCCTATAGTGCCACCAGAACTCCTTAACATATATGCAGAAAAGTACAAAAAGCATAAATGTATAGCTGGATGAATTTGCTACAAGCAATAATAGAATTTTTACCAGCACAGTAGACCTCAGCCTTCTCAAAGGCTGCTGATATCCCAGTTCGTTACATCTGAATCAGTTTTGTCTGATTTTGAGCTTTATAAAATATTATAAAAGTATTAATTATAAAGTACAATTTTGCCTGGTTTCTTTCATTAAGGACGAGGGTGAGTCAAAAATTATCTGCAGTCTGGTTATATATGTCCACAGCTGATGACAACATTAAGTGTGTGTGTGAAGTGATTCTGTTAAGTAGACAAGTGACATTGGATCATGTGGCAAATCATTTGCAAATCAGCTATGGCTTTGCCTATGAAATAATCCATGACAGATTTGGATTTTGAAAAGTTTATGTGAGATGGGTTCCAAATCAACTCTTGGAAGAGCATAAACAGAAGTGTTTGGATATCTGGAAACAAAATTTGAAATAATACTTGATAACAGGTAAATGTTGCTTTTAAAAAATGGTCACTGGTGATGAGACATGGTGTCATCACTAGGAGCCTGGAAGTAAATGGCAGAGTATGAAATGGAAACATCCTCAATCACTGACAAAAAGTCAACCATCAGCTGGAAAATTGATGTTAGCAGTTTTATGGGACTATCAATTGTTCCAGTGGAACACTATCAAGAAAAAGGTTCAACAATCAATAGTGCTTGTTACAGTGAAATGCTCGCTGAAGAGCTGAAGTCTAAATTTTGGCTTAAATGCAGAGGACTGCTATCTAAGAGCTTTGTAATCTTGCATGACAATGCACAGCCACAGACCTCTGCAAATACTTCTTTTTGAGGTGTTAAAGCATCATGCCTATTGTCCTGATCTTGCTCCATTGTACTTTCACCTGTTGGAGCCCCTAATAGCAGCCCTTTGAGCATGAAGATTCACCTCTGATGAACAGTTGAAGACAGCCGTTCATTTGTAGCTTGCAGCTCAGACTAAATATTTTTAAATAAGAGATTACAAAAGCTTGTTGACAGATGGATAAAGTGTATTGAAAAGCAAGAAGATTATGTCGAAAAACAATGTATTTGTCTTTTCTAAAAGTAGATTAAAATAATTCTACAGCCAGAGTGCAGATAATTTTTAACTCAACCTCATATTATAAAATTCATCCATCTTCCATATTTTTATGGCCAAATAATCAAATTCAAAGAGGTTTACAGTCCAGATAAAAAATGAAATTATTTTTATTAGCTGGGATATACCACTTCAGTGCCCCAAAGAAAAAGTTGGATTTTCCATGGTAAAAAACTTATTTATTTACCTGCTTTAAGATTTTATAGTTGCATACCATAGCAATTAAGGAGCTCTGATAGTACAGTGCAATGGTAACGAATCGGGCTGCTAACCTCAAGGTCAGCAGTTTGAAACTACCTGTGGCTCCATGGGAGAAAGAAGAGGCGTTCTGCTCCTGTAAAGATTTACAGCGTCGGAAACCCTGTGCAGGGTTGCTATGAATTGGAAACGACTCCACGGTACTTAACACCACCACCACCATAGGAATTGCCATAGTAGATTTCTTGACAGAATTATAAATATAACATTCAAGGGGATTTCAAAAAGTTCATGGAATTAAATGATGGTGGAATTTTTCCATAAACTTTTGACGTTCCTTCGCATGTATGTTCTTGTTTCGCCTGTTGTTCTGTATGTCCATATTTGATTGATGATTAAATCCGTATTTCTGATGGTCAGTAAACTGGTGGAAAAGTCAATCAGTGAAGATTTTATGCAAAAGCTTTTAAATATACTTAGAGCATAGTTTAAATGTGTTACACTTTGCTTTGTTTTTATTTTCAGCCGATAATGAGGCAAAAGAAACATTTTAATTCACTGCACATTCCAAAAGCCTTGCAAAAAGCCCTACCATTTAAGAACAAGCCCAAGATCCATGCAAAGGCAGGCAAGGTGCCAAAGGACAAGCAGAGACCAGTTGTCATACGGGAGCCTCACGAGAGAAAGGTAATGTGGAGGGATGGTCATTCATGTACTTGTCAAAATTATGTTTTCAATAGCACATTTGGAAAGGAAAAAGACCAGACTTTTTGAGACATGAGACCTGGAAGTTAAAGTCCTTAGTCCATTTCTGTTCTTTTGTTTAGTCATGTTCTGCCTTGTACGTTTTAATAGGTGCACAATAGGTGAATCATTCTGTTTCCAGTATAACTGATTCTGAACATTCCCTGTTAGGATCTGAGATAGAAACCAGCAAATCTAACAGTTTTGATAAACTTTCATGTGTATTGACAATACTGATCTATGTAGGTATTAGTTCTATCAAACAAGCAGGATAAATAGATTTATTTAACTGTATCCCCATCTTCTACTTTGCTTTCAGATATGGAGAAAACTTTTTATTTCTAAGGATAAATAAAAGCCTTTTAGAGGCAGAAATTTTTTCTTTGTCTTAATTACACATAGGATCCACAGTAATGAACAAAGGTGGTTTTATGACAAAGACCATTATATAATTGCAGTTGTTCCTTGATATCTACAGGGTATTTGGTTCCAGGATATTCCCTTCCCCCTAAACAAACCCCAAATCCATAGATGCTCAAGTCCCTTATGTAAAATGCATATTTGCATATAACCTACACACATCCTCCCATGTATTTTAAATCATCTCTAGATTACTTATAATACCTACTACATTTTGAATGCTATGCAAATAGCACTTTATGCTCCCTATATCTCCATATAAATTGTGATTTCCCAGCTTGGATTAATTTCCATTGGATTAGTAATGCATTTCAAATCATGGGTTAAGTTGTTTTAATATACCCCATGAAACTCTGATGAAAATTAAAACATGCTATAGCTGTAAGAATATTCTGATGTCCACTGGTTTTTCATATCAGATCCTTGCGTTGCTGGATGCTCTGAGTACAGTGCACAGTCATAAAATGAAAAAGGCCAAGGAACAACGGCATCTGCAGAATAAAGAGCACTTCAAAGTGAAGCAAAAGGAAGAACAAGAAAAGCTGACACAGCAGAAGGAGCTCAGGAAGAAGCTCTTCCGAATTCAGGGTCAGAAAGAAAGAAGAAATAAAAAGTCCAGCCTGAAAGGGAATGAGGAACAATTAAACTGAACTTCCCAGTTTATCTGCAAAAATGGACGGTCTTCAATATTACAGTATTTGAAAATAAGTCAGGATGTGGATATAAAATAGTATCATTATCAGTTTGCTCTACCTGTTCCAACCTCTTTTTTTGGTTTATGTTAAATAAATACCATTAAAATATTGTCTTGTAAATTTTGGCGTAGTGGTTTGTTTTCCTTAAGGTCTAATGCTTGACAAAGTTGATTGTGGATAATTGCTTCCTTTACTACCAGTTTCTTGGCGAGCCTTTCAGAAAGAAAAATACTAACTCAAATCCTTAGCATCAGTGTAAAATTATAGAGAATAGAAAAGGGTGTGTGAATGTTTTTGTTTTTGCCTACCGTAAAGTCTTTGATCACTGACCTTCATGGACATTTTGTATCTTATTTCGTGTTATCTGTACAGGGTCGCTATGAGTTGGAGCCAAGTCAATGGCATTTAACAACAACAAAGTATAGTATAGGAGTCTTGGTGTGGTGCTGTTGGATAAACACTGGACTGCTAACCACAAAGTTAGCAAATCCACTAGCCACCCTAGGAAAACCCTATACAGGATCACTGTGAGTTGGAACCAACTCAACAATATTTAACAACAACAATTTTAACATAAGATCTGGGTAATTGTAAATACTGTTAGTATACTTGTTTATGGAACTTGACTGTTATAAATACCCTTGTTTATGTACCTTTAGAACAGTCTATGGCAGACTCAGACAGAGACCACGGAAATTATCTATATGAAGTAGATTTTTGTATTGTGCATATGCATAACATTTGCCTAGTTACACTGCCTGTTTTCTTTCTACCAATGCTTACAACACACTGCCCCCATAGCAGTCTCCACTTCTTCATTGGGTTTCTTTTTTTCTTTTAAATTGAAAATTTTATTGAGATAATTGTAGATTCACATGCATTTATAAGAAACGTTAACCTTGCATACTTTGCTCAGTCTTCCCCAGTGGTAGCACTTGCAAAACTGTAGTTTAATGATACAATCAGGGTAGCCCCCTTGATAAAACCCACTGATTTTATTTTGTATTTTCTCAGTTTTATTTATGTTCATTTTTGTGTGTGTTTGAAAATGTGGTACACTTCACAAATTTGTGTGACATCCTTACATGAGATCATTTTAGCCTTATGCATATTATTCCAATTTTAATATGTACTGACAAAATATTATATGGGCCAAAGAAATTCACTAAGGGCCAGCCAGTGGATTTCTTAGTAGGATTGTGAGTAGTTGGCCAGTTGGCCCTGTCCACGAGGTACTGAGTTGTTAGATTTCTTTTTTAAGTGCTCAAAAATTAGACACGCATGAGGAACAGTTTTCTTTGTACTAAGTGATTATTACTATTCTTTGGGAGAGAGGTTCAGAGAATCCTGCCAGGGCTCAGCCTGTATGGGAAGTGACAGTTGAAATAGTGTGCCTAGACTGTTCTGAGGAACTCTGGTGTGAATTTTCCTCTATTCTTTGGGGACAGTGAGGAAAATCAGCATCCAATTTGTTAATAGGCATAAGGACTGGTGTATAAAAATATAAAATAATTTAAAACTGATTTCTATTCTATTATATGGCATAATTAATACATGTAAGAGGCACTAGCTATATAGATAGCTCACAAGGTCAGTCAGAACAGAGAAATTCTGGTTTCAGAAGTGCCCTATACAACAAAAAATATAAAAGAAGCAAAGCATTGTAGATAATATAGTCTCATTTTTATCCAAAAAAATGAAATCCTTTACTGATGAGAAAATAAAAGAATGTTTAAACACAATTGAAACTAATTGTCTTTCCTAAAGACAGTATGTCTTTAAATAAATCGTATCTGCTAATTTAAAAATCTTGGTTTATCATATTTGGAAAACAAGGTAAAATGAAAACTGCATATCAACATTAAAGTTTAGAACTTTACGTTGTCTGGAAATAATCATAAATTGAGGAATTATGGTATTTTTTTGTGCAGAATTTGTCCTGGTCAATCTCCAGCTAGCCAAATTAATAAAATACATTTGTGCATAGTTTTTGTAACTGAAAAAATTGCATCCATTTAAAGAGAAGTTATTGTAGTGCAGTGAACTGCTTCATATGTTTCTTCAACCCATAGTGTGTGTAACTCCCACCAAGTGAATTTTTCCTGATGGATCTGGGTAAGAGAAGGCAGGAATATGATGCTGGTGAATTATTGAGTGATTATTAACAGGGTTAAATGTGAATACTTGGAACTCTAGTGTGGGTATAAAATGAGAGAAGATACAAAAAGGGTAGTATAAGAGAATTGCTTCATGGTGATGCAATAGTTTTGTATTTTGATCATAGTAGTGGTTACACTAAAAAGGGAAATTTTTTGCATTGAAATATGTACATACAAATGCATATTAAGAGAATGGTGAAAACAGTAAGGCCTAATGTCTAGTTAACAATATTAACAATATTATAACATTATTGGTTTCTTGGTTCTTGGTTTTGATAATGTACTACAGTTGTAAAAGCTGTTACCATTGAAAGAAACTGACTGGAAGATACTCTGCATTATTTTAAAGAAAACTTTTTGAGAGTATAATAATTTCAAAATGAATTCTAGATTATAATCAGCTGTTAAAAGAAGGTTGGCTGTTAGAACACACCAGCAGCTCTGTGAACTAAAAAGTGGCAATCTGGTCTTTAAACATGGGGAAGATCTACTCTGTCCTATGAAATTGCTGAATCAGAGTCAACAGAATACAACAGCCATCTTTACTGGAGCAAGTCTCTAGGCCTTTTCTCCTGTGGAGTGACTGAGTGGGTTTCAGTCAACAACTTTTCAACTAGCAGCCAAGGGCTCCACAGTTGCGATACTATAGTATTGACTGGTGATTTCTGGTAAGTAAAGAAACAGCAGAAAACAATTTATAATTATTGTTCAATGTATTATTTTACAACAGAAATTTTTTTAAAAGTCTAATACAGTTAAAAAATGTCAAGTGCCATCAAGTTAGTTTCAAGTCACAGATCCAGTATAGCATTTCTGAGGAGTGACTGGTGGGTTTGAACTACTGACCTTTAGTTAAAAGCTAAAATACTTTGCAAAAAAATGGTTCCATTATCTAATTTCCTTTCTACCTTCAAAACACCGATTTTATGGTTAAATTGCTATTCTAACATACTAACAATGTAATAAACAGCCCTGCTTCTGTTTCCATAGAGTTTGCATTCTGGTGACATTTACTTTTGCTTTTGCAAAAACAATATCCAAACAATATCAAATTAATAAGATGTTGTTGTTGTTAAGTGCCGTTGACTCGGTTCCATAGCGACCCTGAACAGGGTTTCCGAGGCTATAAATCTTTACAGGAGCAGAAAGCCTCATCTTTCTCCCGCGGAGCAACTAGTAGTTTCGAACTGCTGACCGTGCGGTTTGCAGCCCGATTCGTAACCACTACGGTACCACTACGTAACCACTACGGTAAGGAGCTCTGGTAGTGTAGTGGTTACGAATCGGGCTGCGAACCTTAAGGTCAGTGGTTCGAAACTACCAGCCGCTCCGCGGAAGAAAGATGAGGCTTTCTACTCCCGTAAAGATTTACACCCTCGGAAACCCTGTACAGGGTCGCTACGGGTCGGAAACGACTCGATGGCACTTAACAACAACAACAACGGTACCAGAGCTCCTTAGTATTGAAAATTTTGTTTAAATAATACCCATTTTGACACTATTGTTATTAGGTGCCGTTGATTCCAACTCATAGAGAACCTTATGCACAACAGAATGAAACACTGCCTGGGCCTGCATCATACTCAAATGGTTGTTAAGCTTGAGCCCATTGCTGCTGCCACTGTGCCAGATGTATCTCATTGGGGGTCTTCCTCTTTTTCCCTGAACCTCCACTTTACCGAGCATGATGTCCTTTTCCATGACTGCCCCCCTCCTGACAATGTGTCTTAAGTCTCACCATACTGGCTTCCAAGGATCATTCTGGTTATATTTCTTGCAATATGGATTTGTTTGTTCTTCCAGCAATACACGGTACTTTTAATATTTTTCTCCAGCACCATAACTCAAATGCATCAATTCTTCTACAGTTCCGTATTCACTGTCCAACTTCAATACAAATGAGACTATTTAAAACTTTAATCCTCAAATTGACACCTTTGCTCTGAAGCACTTTGTGCAGCAGATTTGTCTAATATAATATGTTCTTGACTGCTTTTGATGGTGTTGAACCTAGCAAAAAGACTTGGACAATTTCAATCTTTTCTCCATTTATCATGTTATTCATTGCTCCAGTGGCGAAGATTTTTTTCACACTGAGCCATACCGAAGGCTATGGTCTTTGATCTTCATCAGTAAGTACTTCAAGTCCTCTTGAGTCTTCCTCTAATCCTGATGCCATGTTCGTCATAGAATCCAGCTTCTCCAATTTGCCTAGCATACAGACTGAATAAATATGGTGAAAGAATATAACCCTGGAGCACACCTTTCCTGATTTAAACCATTCATTGTCCTCTAGTTCTGTTGTAATGACTGACTCTAGGTCAATCAAAGTACAGGTCCTCATGAACACAAGTGTTTTGGAATACATCTCCACAGTGTGGTCCATAGCTTGTCATGATGTAAATAGTAGAAAGCCTCTGTATAGTCAATGAATTTCTGGCTCTTCTCTGTCAATTTACTATTGCAACCATTTTTGATGTGACTGGTTAGTTCGTTGCTACTTATTTGTTATTCAAACCTTAAGCAGTTTTCTCTCCTCTTCATCTTGTTTGCATTGGCTGGATTTTTATGAAATGGAAGTAAATTAACAAATTGCTAAGTGTGTGGAAGGAAATAGAAGCCTCAGTTTTAGAGGCATCCATTGTGGAAAAATGAATCATAGAACCTACCTCTTTTTATTAAAGCTCTGAAGGGCTCTTAGATAACCATCTTACAAATAAACTAAATCCATAAACTTGTCCAGGGGCGTATGGCTATTATCAACCAATTTCATTTACATGGTGGAATTATACTGAG